GTTTTTCTCTCTGAGTTTCCAGATGAAGGTTTTTCTTCTTCAGTCGTTTCTGTTCCAGCTCCAGTTCAGCAACGAGCCGCTGCAGCACCTCCAGCCTGCCCCCCTACACACACACACACACACACACACACACACACACACACACACACACACACACACACACACACACACACACACACACACACACACACACACACACACACACACACACACACACACACACACACACACACACACACACACACACACACACACACACACACACACACACACACACACACTTGATGTTGCTGTTTTTGTGTTTTTTGTATCTCTTACTGGCAAGCCAATCACAGAAGAGACTGACCTCCTCTGAGTCAGAGCCTGCCCCTCTGCTGTGTTCCCCATTGGTGGGCTCTCTCCCTGTAGCCAATCATAGCTGCCTCTGTTCTCTCCAGAGCCAATCGGACGCGATCTCTGTCTCTCCTCAGCTCCTCTGAGCTCTGAGTGAGAGAGAACAGCTGCAGGACACACTCTCATCATTACAAGGTGAATATGATTCAATAGAACTTCATCAATTCCCTTCATGGAGAGTCAGGAACAGAAACACTGAGATGCAATGTGAAGAGATGGCTGAATGAACATTATTGATCACGGATCAATAATTAAAAAGCTCAAATAAAAGGTTTACTTTTCACCAAAATGATGATTAAGTGAATAAATGGTTTACAAACGATGTTCTACCTGAGCTTCTCTCTCCCTCAGCAGCCTCCTGGTCTCCTCCTTCTCCTCCTTCTCTCCCTTCTCCTCCTGCTGCTCCTTCAGGAGTTATAAACAGATCATGTGATCACTTCAGTTTTCATGAAGAGTTTATAAGAATATACTTTCTAGAAACCCCCTCACCTCTCCTCCTTTCTCCTCCTCCTCCTTCTCAGTCTGGACTCCTCTCGACAGCTTCACCTCTCCTCCTCTCTCCTCCTCCCCCCCTGCTCCTCCTCCTCTCATCGGCCTCCTCCTTCTCCTCCATCATCTCCCTTCTCCTCGTCTCAAGGTCTTTGACTCTCAGCTCCTCCTTGAGACGCTGCACCTCCTCCTGGTTCTCCTCCTTGAGATGCTGCACCTCCTCCTGGTTCTTCATCGTGAGACGCTGCACCTCCTCCTGGTTCTTCATCGTGAGACGCTGCACCTCCTCCAGGTTCTCCTCCTTGAGACGCTGCACCTCCTCCTGTTTCTCCTCCTTGAGACGCTGCACCTCCTCCAGGTTCTCCTCCTTGAGACGCTGCACCTCCTCCTGGTTCTTCATCGTGAGACGCTGCACCTCCTCCTGGTTCTCCTGCAGGTTCTCCTCCTTGAGACGCTGCACCTCCTCCTGGTTCTCCTCCTTGAGACGTTGCACCTCCTCCTGGTTCTCCTGCAGGTTCTTCTCTATGAGACGCTGCACCTCCTCCTGGTTCTCCTCCTTGAGACGTTGCACCTCCTCCTGGTTCTCCTCCTTGAGATGTTGCACCTCCTCCTGGTTCTCCTCCTTGAGACGTTGCACCTCCTCCTGGTTCTCTTGCAGGTTCTTCTCTATGAGGCGTTGCACCTCCTCCTGGTTCTCCTCCTTGAGACGTTGCACCTCCTCCTGGTTCTCTTGCAGGTTCTTCTCTATGAGGCGTTGCACCTCCTCCTGGTTCTCTTGCAGGTTCTTCTCTATGAGGCGTTGCACCTCCTCCTGGTTCTCTTGCAGGTTCTTCTCTATGAGGCGTTGCACCTCCTCCTGGTTCTCTTGCAGGTTCTTCTCTATGAGACGCTGCATTCCCTCCTGTTTCTCCTGCAGGTTCTTCTCTATGAGGCGTTGCACCTCCTCCTTGTTCTCCTGCAGGTTCTTCTTCTTGAGACGTTGCACCTCCTCCTGGTTCTTCATCGTGAGACGCTGCACCTCCTCCTGGTTCTCCTGCAGGTTCTTCTCCATGAGACGCTGCACCTCCTCCTGGTTCTTCATCGTGAGACGCTGCACCTCCTCCTGGTTCTTCATCGTGAGACGCTGCACCTCCTCCTGGTTCTGCTCGCTGAGACGCTGCAGCAGGAGCTTCATCTGGTTCACCTCCTTTAGAGCTCCATCCCTCCTGCTGCTCACACCTGAGACCTGAAGCACAGAGAGGGCATTACTATTAGAACTACAAACAGCTGTTCCAGAGAACTACAAACAGCTGATCCAGAGAACTACAAACAGCTGATCCAGAGAACTACAAACAGCTGATTCAGAGAACTACAAACAGCTGATTCATAGAACTACAAACAGCTGATTCAGAGAACTACAAACAGCTGATTCATAGAACTACAAACAGCTGATCCAGAGAACTACAAACAGCTGATCCAGAGAACTACAAACAGCTGATTCAGAGAACTACAAACAGCTGATTCAGAGAACTACAAACAGCTGATTCAGAGAACTACAAACAGCTGATTCAGAGAACTACAAACAGCTGATTCAGAGAACTACAAACAGCTGATCCAGAGAACTACAAACAGCTGATTCATAGAACTACAAACAGCTGATCCAGAGAACTACAAACAGCTGATTCATAGAACTACAAACAGCTGATCCAGAGAACTACAAACAGCTGATCCAGAGAACTACAAACAGCTGATTCAGAGAACTACAAACAGCTGATTCAGAGAACTACAAACAGCTGATTCAGAGAACTACAAACAGCTGATCCAGAGAACTACAAACAGCTGATTCAGAGAACTACAAACAGCTGATTCAGAGAACTACAAACAGCTGATTCAGAGAACTACAAACAGCTGATTCATAGAACTACAAACAGCTGATCCAGAGAACTACAAACAGCTGATCCAGAGAACTACAAACAGCTGATTCAGAGAACTACAAACAGCTGATTCAGAGAACTACAAACAGCTGTTACAGAGAACTACAAACAGCTGTTACAGAATCAGTGTCCAAAACATACGGCCTCAGGTCCGATGATACGATAACGAAATCGATCATGGACCTTCTGCCTAGGGTGCTCTGGTACCACGTACACTTATGAGCATCCTTATGTTCGAACATGGTGTTTGTTATGGCCAATCCATGACTAGCACAGAAGTCCAGTAACAAACCACCACTCCGGTTCAGATCAGGGGGACCGTTCCTCCCAATCACGCCCCTCCAAGTGTCTCCATCATTGCCCACATGTGCGTTGAAGTCTCCCAGCAAGATTAAAGGGGACCTATCATGCAAAATGCACTTGTGTACGTCTTTTCTACATGAATATGTGTCCCCGGTGTTCCAGGGAACTCACCAAGTGTCAGAAAACACAACCCTCTCTATTTTCCTCCATACCCAAATCTCTAAAAAAGGGGCTGCAACGGATCTGATAAAAACTGATCCAGATTTGAACACTGTCCTGACGTCAGGACGGTGGCGCTACGGCTATTGGGCCAACTCCACCAATCAGGAGGAGACAGCCACGGCCATTGCCGTTCCAAAGCGCTGGAGACGCTGTAGTACATATGCCAGGCCTGTAGGTGGTGCTGTTCTCACTGAATCAGCCCTTGCTAATCCAAAGCTAGAAATTGTCAAATTGAGCAAAATGAGGCATGGCTAAAATGCATGATCTGTTTGGTATTTTGAAAAAAAAAAAGTATCAATATGCCTTATATAGGTATGGTCCTACACTATATTATTCAAATATAGCATGATAGGTCCACTTTAAAGAGTCCCCTTGAGGAGCCCCATACAGGACTCTTTCCAGGGTCTCCAAGAAGGCCGTATACTCTGACCTGCTGTTTGGTGCATAAGCACACACAACAGTCAGAGTTTTCCCCCATAACCCGCAGGCGTAGGGAGGCGACCCTCTCGTCCACTGGGGTAAACTCCAACAACGAGGCACCCAACCGGGGGCTTGTGAGTATCCCCACACCCGCCCGGCGCCTCATACCTTGGGCAACTCCGGAGAAGAATAGAGTCCAACCTAGGGCTGTGCAATTAATTGTATTTTAATCGCAATTACGATTTTGGCCTGCCACAATTACGAAAACAACATAATCAAAAAAAACTATTATTTAGCTTTGCTAGGTTGTGACCGTGCACTGCAACATATTTGATCTAATTAATTTTGGTCTCATTTATTTGTATTTATCATATTTATATATGTTTAGTAGCTTGGGGAAGTGCGCTCCAAAATATTTGTTGATCTTGTTTATTGGTATTTATTATTTTGATATTATTTATTTAAATGTATCATTTATTTTATTTATTTTTGTATTGGTTTTTCAGTTGAATTATACGTTCAGGGTAATCAACAGTTAAAAAGATACTGTTCAAATTATTATTTGTTTTAATGTTCAATAAATGGATGTTTTCAAAGTCAATGAATAATCGTATTTAATAATCGTGATATCAATTATTGACCCAAATAATCGTGATTATGATTTTTGCCATAATCGCACAGCCCTAGTCCAACCCCTATCCAGAAGTAAGGTTCCAGAGCCGACGCTGTGCGTAGAGGTGAGCCCAACCAGATCCAACTGGTAACGCTCCACCTCCCGCACAAGCTCCGGCTCCTTCCCCCCCAGAGAGGTGCCGTTCCACGTCCCCAAAGCCAGCTTCTGCTGCCCGAGTCTGGTCCGTCGAGACCCTCTGCTTTCACTGCCACCCTTCTGGCAGCGCACCCGACCCCATCGCTGTTTCCCGTAGGTGGTGGGCCCGCGGGACGGAGAAGCGGAGGTGATGCCCACGTTGCCTTTTCGGGCTGTGCCCGGCCGGGCTCCGTGGCAAGCCCGGCCACCAGACGCTCGCCGACGAGTCCTCCTTCTGGGCCTGGCTCCAGAAAGGGACCCCGGGCTTCCTCCGGGCCGGGTATCCTCACTTCCTGTGTTGTCTTTCATGAGGTCTTTTGAACCAATCTTTTTTTTGCCATGGGAGACCCTACCAGGAACACAAGGTTCCAGACAACACAGCCCCCAGGTTCATCAGAGCACACAAACCTCTCTACCACGGTAAGGTGCTGGTTCTTCAGAAAGGCTGATCCAGAGAACTACAAACAGCTGATTCAGAGAACTACAAACAGCTGATTCAGAGAACTACAAACAGCTGATTCAGAGAACTACAAACAGCTGATTTAGAGAACTACAAACAGCTGTTTCAGAGAACTACAAACAGCTGATTCAGAGAACTACAAACAGCTGATTCAGAGAACTACAAACAGCTGATTCAGAGAACTACAAACAGCTGATTCAGAGAACTACAAACAGCTGATTCAGAGAACTACAAACAGCTGATTCAGAGAACTACAAACAGCTGTTACAGAGAACTACAAACAGCTGATTCAGTGTCATGTGAACATACCTGAGTTTGGATCTCTTCCCTCTTCCTCTGCTCCTTCTGCACCTCCTCTCTGAGAGACTTCAGGTCCTCCTCCCTTCTCTTCAGCTCTTCCAACAACCCTCCCTTCTCCTCCCTCACCCTCCTCAGCACCTCCTCGTCTCCCTTCCTCTCCTCCTCCCTTCTCTTCAGCTCTTCCAACAACCCTCCCTTCTCCTCCCTCACCCTCCTCAGCACCTCCTCGTCTCCCTTCCTCTCCTCCTCCCTTCTCTTCAGCTCTTCCAACAACCCTCCCTTCTCCTCCCTCACCCTCCTCAGCACCTCCTCGTCTCCCTTCCTCTCCTCCTCCCTTCTCTTCAGCTCTTCCAACAACCCTCCCTTCTCCTCCCTCACCCTCCTCAGCACCTCCTCATCTCCCTTCCTCTCCTCCTCCCTTCTCTTCAGCTCTTCCAACAACCCTCCCTTCTCCTCCCTCACCCTCCTCAGCACCTCCTCGTCTTCCTTCCTCTCCTCCTCCCACTCCCTCAGTTTGTTTTCCACCCTCTTCAGCTCCTCTCTTTGCACCTGCACCTCCTCTTCCAGTCTTTTTCTCTCCTCCTCCACCTCCTTGACTCTCTCCTGCAGCCTCCTCCTCCTCTCCTCCTCCCTCTCCATCTCCCCCCTCCAGTCCTGCACCTCCTCCTCCAGCCTCTCCCTCACCTCCTCCCCCTCTCTGGCTCTCCTCCTCTCTCCCTCCCTCTCCTCTCGCGCCTCCTGCAGCTCCTTCACGTGAGAGGAGATCCTGACCTCCTTCTCTTCCCCCTCCCTCCTCTCTCCCTCCAGGTTCTCCCTCGTCTCCCTCAGCACCTCCTCCAGCAGCTCCTCCTTCACCTCCTTCTGCTTCAGTTGCTCCTTCACCTCCTCCCTCTCCCTCTCCATCACCTCCTTTCTCTCTTGGGCCTCCCTCAGCCTCCCCCTCAGCTGCTGCACCTCCTCCTCTCTCTCCCTTACAGCACTCATCTGTCTCTCCAGGCTGCTCTCCCTCCTCTGCACCTCCTCTCTCACCTCCTGCACCTCCTCCTCCGCCACATTCAGCCTCACCCTCAGCAGCTGCACCTCCCTTTCTCTCTCCCCCACCTCCTCCATCAGCCTCTGCACCTCCTTCTTTAGTATTTTAACCTCTTCCTCTTCAGCTCTCCCTGATTGCTGCACCTCCTCCTTCTCCTTTTCTAGTTTCTCCATCCGGTCACACAGCGCCTCCTCCTTCTCCTCCTTCAGTTTGAGGGCATCTTTTCTGACTCTCTCCACCTCCTCCTCCCTCTCCTTTTCTAATCTCTGCACCTCCTCCTCAGCTCTTTTTGCTCTTCCTGTGAGTCTATGCACCTCCTCCTCTTCCCCTCGTAGCGCCTCCTTTAGTCTTTTAATTACCTCCTCCTTTTCTAATCCCTTCTCTCTCTGCACCTCCCTTTGTCTCTCCCCCACCTCCTCCATCAGCCTCTGCACCTCCTTCTCTCTCTGCACCTCCCTTTGTCTCTCCCCCACCTCCTCCATCAGCCTCTGCACCTCCTTCTCCCTGACCTCCCTCTCCTTTTCTAGTCTCTCTATCCGGTCACACAGCGCCTCCTTCTCCTCCTCCTCCTCTCTCCTCACCTCCTTCAGTTTGGAGGCCTCTTTTCTGACTCTGTTAATCTCCTCCTCTAATGTCTTCACCTCCTCCTCTCTCCTCCTGACCTCCTTTATCTTGGCCTCCTTTAGTCTGTTCACCTCCTCCCCCTTCTCATTTTCTAATCTCTGCACCTCCTCTCTCAGTTTCTCCTTCAGTTTGGAGGCTTCTCTTCCGAGTCCTTTAATCACCTCCTCCTTTAGTCTGTGCACCTCCTCCTCCTCCTCCTTCTCTCTCTCTAGTCTCTCTATCTGGTCACACAGCACATCCTTCTCCTTTAGTAGGCTGTGCACCTCCTCCTCTCTCCTCCTAACCTCCTCCTTCAGTATTTGAATCTCCTCCTTGTCCTTTTCTAATCTCTCTATCCGGTCACAGAGTGCCTGCACCTCCTCCTCGGCTCTCCTCCTCTTCACCTCCTCCTCCTCTCTCCTCTCCTCCTCCTCCTCTCTCCTCTTCTCCTTCAGTTTGGAGGTTTCGTTTCTGAGTCTGTAAATCTCCTCCTCCTTCTCCTTCTCTAATGTCTGCACCTCCTCCCTCACCTCCTCCCTCTCCTCCTCTGCAGCGTTCAGCCTCACCCTCAGCAGCTGCACCTCCTCCTTTAGTCTCTGATTCTCCTCCATCTCTTTTTTCACCTCCTCCTCTGTTCTCTTTGCTTCTTCTTTGAGTCGCTGCACCTCCTCCTCTGTTCTCTTTGCTTCTTCTTTGAGTCGCTGCACCTCCTCCTCTGTTCTCTTTGCTTCTTCTTTGAGTCTCTGCACCTCCTCCTCTGTTCTCTTTGCTTCTTCTTTGAGTTGCTGCACCTCCTTCTCTTGCTCTCGCAGCTCCTCCTTTAGTATTTTAATCTCCTCCTTTTTCTCCTTGTCTGTTTTCTCCACCTCCTCCTGGAGCCTCCTCACCTCCCTCTCTCTCTCTCCCTCCTCCCCCATCAGTCCCTCAATGCGCCTCCTCTGCGCCTCCACCTCCCCGTCTCTCGCCCCCAGCTCCTCACTCAGCGCCTCCCTCTCTCTCTGACACGCCTCCTTTTCCCTCTTCTCCTCCTCCATTTTCTTCACCTCCCTCTTCTCCTCCTCCTCTCTCTCCTCCCTCCCAGTCGTCTCTCTCTCCAGCTCTCCTCTCAGGCACTCGATCTCCCCTTCAAAATAAAAGCACAAGAAGCATCTGTTAGACTGGTAGTGTGTGTGTGTGTGTGTGTGTGTCTGTGTTGTGTGTGTGTCTGTGTCTGTGTCTGTGTGTGTGTGTGTGTGTGTGTGTGTCTGTGTGTGTCTGTGTGTCTGTATCTGTGTGTGTGCGTGTCTGTGTGTGTGTGTCTGTGTCTGTGTCTGTGTGTGTGTGTGTGTGTGTGTGTGTGTGTGTGTGTGTGTGTGTGTGTATGTCTCACCCTTCAGAGTGTGTTTGACCTGCTTCATGGTGAGGAGGTGAGTCTGCATTTGACATCGATCCACGTCCAACTCAGAGAGCTGCTGCTGCTGCACACACACCGTCTGCTGCAGGGACACACACACAGTCCTGTGGGGAGGAGAGGAGGGGGAGGGGAGGAGAGGAGGAGAGGAGGAGAGGAGGGGGAGGAGAGGAGGAAGGAGGAGAGGAAGAGAGGAGGAGGGAGGAGAGGAGGAGAGGGAGAGATGGAGAGAGGTGTTGTTAAGTTTAAAGATGTAGTTTTGCACATTAATGTAAAACTAAATAAAAAGTCACAAATTCAGAAAACAGAAAAGAAAATGACTTTTTCTCAGATTCTGAACGTTTGCCTCCGAGTGGACTTTTCTCTCAGGACTGGCAGGAGCTCAGATGATTGGCTTGTTTTTCATCTTCAACTTTTTTCATGGAATTTGGACATTTTCCTGGTAATTGAGGTTTTGGGTCAGATTCCTGATTCTTCACATTTGACTTTCTCCTCCTGATTCTCTTTCTCCTCCTGATTCACTTTCTCCTCCTGATTCACCTTCTCCTCCTGATTCACTTTCTCCTCCTGATTCACTTTCTCCTCCTGATTCTCTTTCTCCTCCTGATCACTCTCCTCCTGATTCACTTTCTCTCCTGATTCACTTCTCCTCCTGATTCACTTTCTCCTGATTCACTTTCTCCTCCTGATTCACTTTCTCCTCCTGATTCACTTTCTCCTGATTCACTTTCTCCTCATGATTCACTTTCTCCTCATGATTCACCTTCTCCTCCTGATTCACTTTCTCCTCCTGATTTACTTTCTCCTCATGATTCACCTTCTCCTCCTGATTCACTTTCTCCTCCTGATTCACTTTCTCCTGATGATTCACTTTCTCCTCCTGATTCACCTTCTCCTCCTGATTCACCTTCTCCTCCTGATTCACCTTCTCCTCCTGATTCACTTTCTCCTCCTGATTCACCTTCTCCTCCTGATTCACCTTCTCCTCCTGATTCACCTTCTCCTCCTGATTCACCTTCTCCTCCTGATTCACTTTCTCCTCCTGATTCACTTTCTCCTGATTCACCTTCTCCTCCTGATTCTCTTTCTCCTCCTGATTCACTTTCTCCTGATTCACTTTCTCCTCCTGATTCACTTTCTCCTCCTGATTCACCTTCTCCTCCTGATTCACTTTCTCCTGATTCACTTTCTCCTGATTCACTTTCTCCTCCTGATTCTCTTTCTCCTCCTGATTCACTTTCTCCTCCTGATTCACTTTCTCCTCATGATTCACTTTCTCCTCCTGATTCACCTTCTCCTCCTGATTCACTTTCTCCTCATGATTCACTTTCTCCTCCTGATTCACCTTCTCCTCCTGATTCACTTTCTCCTCCTTTCACCTCTC